TGTCAAAGGGCAGCCAAAAGTGCGATAAGGGTGTTATTTGCGCTGAGGCGAGGATTTGTGCAGATCGACAAGGAGCTGTTCGGAAAAACCTATGGGGCATTCGTCCGGTCTCACTTAGAGTATGCAGTCCAGGCCTGGCGACGGTGGTTAAAGAAAGATTATCAACGACTGGAAAGAGTACAGGCGATGGCTACGAAGATGGTCAAGAATCTTCATCATTTGCCTTACGAAACCAGACTGACTGAACTAAATCTGTTTCCTCTAAATTACAGGCAACTGCACGGCGATCTCATTCAAACCTACAGGATTGTCAGAAGCCGTGAGTGTGCCCTAGATTTTGATGACTTCTTTGAATTGGCCCGGACTGACCGTCTGCATGGTCATCCGTTCAAACTGCAAAGGAAGCGGGCTCACTCGGACGTCCGACGGAACGCCTTCTCACACAGGGTCATCGGGGCATGGAATGGACTCCCTGATGCCGTCGTTCTTTCCGAAAGTGTTAAATCCTTTAGTGCAGACTAGACGCTCACTTGTTGAGAACCTACTGTACATACAATCATGATTGTTTTAGCGGCGGCAGTTTGCGCCTAGCTCACACTTACCGCTAATTTCTTAACTTTTCGCATTTGCTGATGTAATTGATGACTTTATTTCTGTTTATCGACATGAATAGGGTGCTCAAGGGCGAAAGCCTCATGCCCTTAATAAACTGACTTAAACTGACTTAGGTTACCAACTTGAATCAGTCAACGAGTTAAGAGACCTCGGTGTGTGGATGACGTCAACTCTCAAACCATCGTCTCACTGCGCCAAGTTATCATAGAAAGCTATAGGTATCCTAGGCGCGATCAGAAGATCCTTCGTCAGTTTTGATGAAGAACTTTTCGTCCGAGTATTTGGCGCATACGTTCGACCAATGTTGGAATATTGTGTCCAGGCATGGTGTCCCTGGACGAAAAAAGATTACACCCTACTGGAGAACGTACAACGAAGAGCGACCAAGCTAGTCGGCGGATTAATTCGTTTACCTTATGAGAGACGACTGGAGAAGCTAAAAATATTTCCTCTCTCTTATAGGCAGTACAGAGGGGATATGATCATGGCCTTCATGATCGTCCGAGGGCTAGACTGTGCTCTTCAGTTTGACGATTTCTTCGAACTGGCGCGGACGACAAATCTTCGAGGGCACAAGTACAAATTGAAGACGAAATATGCCAAACTAGAGTTGCGGGCAAAATACTTCTCCCACCGGCTGGTTGAAGGATGGAACAGATTGCCGAACTCCGTTGTCTTGGAGGAAAACGTCGAGACTTTCAAAAAAAGATTAGATAAATTTATGCTTGATGGTCAAACATTTACATGATATCAATGACTGGCATAACTACTATGTGAATATCTGCATGTTTTTTTCATACGTCTATCAGTAAATAGGGTTTTCCAAGGCTCTGCCTATATCCCTCATATATACTGAATTATACCGAATCTTCCGCACATTGACACTCTCACTCCGAGAGATCGGTCTTATGCTACGCGCAACTCCTCCATGGTGATTCTGTCGACAATTTGCACTACATCTAAATGCTCCCTCTTCTTTGCTTCCAAATATGCCTTCCTCTGGAATAATCTTCCGCCAGAAATTTGGTCAGCGCCTAAGTTACTGGTATTTAAGTCAAAATTACGCCAACACTTCACATCACAACGTATAAAGGCACTTTTAACGACTTCATTGCCGAACACTCAGCTTCTTGATTTCGAGAGTGGTCCTCCAGGGATTTAGTGGTAGATCAAGTGGAAACTCTCAAGTATATCATAAGAAGCCATGTTTTGAATTGGTTTCTAGGCCCACTGCTGTCACTCCTCCCCCATAGCGACGATTTTCGCGGTTCTTGATGTCATCTCCCGCATTTCGACCTTATGCGGTCGACGCTCATGGCGGAACCCTCAGTGTTCGCCGTCTAATAGTAGTTTGGTCATACCTCCCTTCCCCACTCCTCGGCTGGCCTCAAAGCGTACTGTGGCCGATCGCGTCCGGGTTCCTCTCGTCTGGCCTCTTTGACGCGAATAGTCTCATCCAGCGTATCAATCCTGCCCTGACTATGTGAGTTCTGAATCCCGTATACAATACCACATGGAGGCCAGTCCTGTTCGACCCGCGTACGTACCCCTCAAGGCAGACATTTATTTCTGCCCTGACAACGTCCGATTATAATCAAGGGTGACATTTATGTCTGTCCTGACGATGTCCAATTATAATCCGTTATATACCGCCACATGCAGGCCAGTCCTGCCCACATTCTTCTGTTATTATTATTTAGCGAGGGTTTTTTTTATCCTGTAAAGTTAATCCAATCATTTTCAAATTTTAGTGGTTATTTTTTACCGCTGGCTCATCACTTTTCTTAACGGACTGCAAATTTAGAAACTATGCATTCCATTTTGGACAAATTTTGCCTACCTCGTCTAAAATTCGTATGCAAATGTATTTTTGCCTGCTTTAATGGAACCCCGACGGGTCACTACTTACAACATCACTATTCTTATTAGTATCCATAAATACATAATACCCGTCAGCTGATATCTCTGAAGAAGGTGCCGCAGTACTCAAGGACGGGAAGAACAAACTTTTAGCTTCATTTCAGGAAAAAAAACTATTTTATATGAACCCACATATTTGCTATGCTTTGGCGGATATTCTGTCTGAGGTGATAAAGTAAGCTTATTTGTATATTTAGTCCAGATCCTTTATGCTGTTGCATTCTGAGAGTGGATTATTCTGAAGCACTATGGGACCTTGGAACTTGGTAGGATCAAATGACACGAAACTACACTTGGACGATGAAACCCCATCTACCTTTTGTCTATTTCCGACGCCTGTCCATAATAGTCCGTGTTCTCACTTGGTCTGGGTTTGGCTACTGCTATCTCTGGTCTGACGCCTCGCAGGCATCCTGCTTATTGAACTTCACCCCTAGGTCTTGGTAGGCAGCCGACAATATTGCGCAGCGGTGAAACAAGGTAGCTGTGATGTGCCATGCTTCGAGCGCGTCCCTGACCGATTGATCGCTCCCCTGGCTCAAGACTTCGGTGTTTTGGAATGCGAGTGAATGACCAGAAGCTGCGCAATGTTCCACCACCAGTGAGAGCTGATCCAATTTTAGTACCGCTCTTGCGTGCTCGTCCATTCGGGTCCGCAATCTTTTCCGGTCTCTCCAACGCAGTTCGCTTCTCAGGAACTGCACGGTATCCGATAGACGAAGTCGGCTGTTTCGCCTCATGGCAAAGGCATTTTGGTCTCATGACCAGACGTCTAACTGTCGCTTTGGGCTCGTGGGCGATGCCGATACCCAACGGTTGCAAGATATGAGCAACTGATTTGGAAGCGTTTGCAATATATGGCAGCACTCGTCAGAGTTTCGGTTGGTTTGCCGTTAGCTTTATGGTTGGTCTAGGCAGTCTGCTGCGTTTTATAAAGCTGTAGGAGTGACCGCTGGAGGAATACAGAGTGTCAGGGGAACACTGTGTGCGAAGTAGGATTTTAATATCATCGTACAGGCGGAACACAAGCTAATGAGGTTGATTAATGGTCTTAATAACTATTCTACCATGGTATATTGAAAGAGGCCGACTTAAATTCCCTTTTCCTACGGACAACTAAGGCCCAGCTTTATTTGGAAATTCCTAATTAACGTCGGTGATGATTGCTCCTTGAGACCAAAGGACTTTCTTGTGCTTGCATCCTCAGGTTGCCTGTATGGTTGTTCCTACAAAATAAAAACCGAACGTGTGCTACCAGACTTCAAAAATGTTTCTCCTGCGAACGGGTAGTCAGACGATTAACTCGCTACCAAGTGAGATCGAGACGGCCGATACGACTTCTATATTTAAAAGAAGGTTTGACTGTATAACTTCTGGCGAAAATGTCCACCACGACAGCATTTCTTACAGTCAGTCATGGAAAGCCTCTGGTGATTACCACTCGCTCTGTACTAAGTCACAGTAAACAGAAACAGCAATTTTTTTGTCATTCTGTATTATGAAGCAAGCTCATTCTAAATGTTTGCAAGCTTTATAATAAGTGTGCCTATACAGATTTGCTGGACATTCATAGGATCATCTAGAAATCTACCTAATTTAATAAAATATAAATTCTCTTACATGGTTTCCAGGAGCGACGGAACCACCTTAATTTCGAGAAAACCAATTGTTTTGCTGACGACCACGGATTTTTCTAAATAAAATAGAAGTACGCTTGAACATGAGTACGCGTGAAAATTCTTTTGAGGCAAACGGTCCGGTTCGGAAGGTGAGCCGTGTGTCAAGAGACAACAGACCCCTGAAGAGTAGTCGCTTCTTGGCTTAATTTAAAACTAATGAATGTATGTGGTAAAAAGAATGGCACTTATTTAGGTTTCTAGATAAGGACACCACGATTATCCATCTCAAATTAAGATAAAACTTGCGTGGGTATGCCATAGCGGTCTTGTTATAATTAATCACATTTACAGTTTGAGCGGCGGCTTGGAGTGGGCGGCTGGCACGTTGGGGAGGTACAGTCGGGAATTCCAGATTATTCTCTCAAAAATGGACCCTACGCGTATTGTTGAGGCCCTTCAGGCATCCCTTCAACCAGATCAACAAGCGGATGCCGAAAAAGTTCTCCTTGAGGTACGAAGAAACTTTCAGCATCGAAACTGTCTAGATGCACAAAATCATTGGTTTCGCCCCAACCCTTCTTCAAGTCGTTCTTGAAAATGGTTTGGAGCTTCCAGTCCGTCAAGCGGGGGCCGTATTTTTCAAGAACATGGTCTTAAAATCATGGAAGGAACAGGAAAGTAAAAGTCCTGAGGGAGTCATAGCTTTCCATATCCATGAGAACGACAGAGAAAGCATACGTAGTGTAATCGTACCCGCAATGGCATCCTCTCCTATTCCTATTCAGTAAGCTTCCTCATTTTCAAGCGCATTGTCAGAAATATTTTGCAAGTTGCCCTCTTCCGCATCTTGAAATACGATTTTCCATCTCGCTTTCCGACGTTTGTGGAGCGCGTTGCCGGATATCTGAATTCTGCTAATTTCGTAGAGTTCCACGGGTCCCTCTTGAGCGTTTATTCTCTCGTTCAAGCCTTTGACCGGCAGGCCAATGACAAAACTGCACTGTCTGCCGCGATGAATACCGTCCTGCCCCATGTCTATGAACGCATGGGGGTTCTTTTGTCCGATACGTCAGACGAATCTCTGAGTCTGCAAAAACTTGTTTTGAAAATATTCTATCGTTACACTGAATACTACTTACCAACGGATTCTATCAATGAGCAGGTAAACCATTGCAATCGTATTTCAATTTTCCGAAGTGGGTTTCACACTGGCATACCCTTTTGTGTTCCATCCTGGAAAACTTCAATGGCGCCAACGATGATGCTGACAGCGCGTATTGGAAACGACAGAAATGGGCAGCAAGGATCTTGTATTGCTGGTTCACGCGGTATGGAAGTCCAGGAAACGTCCAAAAGAAATATAAGACCTTCGCTGATTGGTATTTGAAGGGCTTCACTCACCAAGTCCTCGCATCGTTCCTCAAAGTTTGTGATGCCTACCGCCAACAAATTTACATTTCACCAAAAGTCCTTGCAGAAACGCTTTCCTATTTCTCTGCCGCGTAAGCCTGTCTTAAAACTTTGACTCCGCTAGACTGTGCCACGCGTTTTCTTGGAAGTTCCTCCAGGCCTCATTTCCAATGTTACTGCAAGAAGTTATCCATCCTCTCCTATCGCACGATAAGGAGGCCCAGGATATGTGGGAGGACGATCCCATTGAATACATCCGATACAAAACCTGTATGGTTGCGTTTGCTCATTTTTTTTCGTAGCTGTTTACGCCAGTCTTCACAACCCTGCCGATGCGGCCTGCACATTTATCAGCGATGCTTGTTCGAAGAGGAAGGGCATTTTGGACAGGTCAATGCAGTACTGCATTCAGGTTCTGTCGTCGGATGCCAAGCCTGAAGCGAAAGATGGCGTTCTGAACCTGGTTGGGACAGTATGCGACACGCTCCTAAAAAACAAGACCTACAAGGTTGGTAGGCCTCGAAACTTTGGTTACCAAGCTTTCATTTCTACGTAGAACCAGCTCGAATCCTTCCTCATAACTCACGTCCTGCCACTGTTTGAGGCACCAGAGGGTTACAGACGTGCTAGAGCCTGCTGGCTTCTTGGGAAGTTGTCGCGTGCCGAATTTGGCAATACGGCCCTTCTATGCCAGGCGGCAGAGGCTACGAGGAGACTCATGTGCTTCGACACGGACCTGCCTGTCCGTGTTAGCGCCGCTAACGCTGTATTTGCATTGATCAGGGACCAGGACGATAGTAAGTAGTCCACATAAAACCTGGATCTAGTTTTACTCCCGTTTTCATTGCTGTAATCTATTCCATTTTGCCCGAGTTTGTCTTTTCGCCAGTTGGTTTTGTAAGTAGCTTCCACTTATACTTCCTTTGCGGGGGCTTATACATGTCGTAAATGAAGTGTCTGTCAACGGCATTTCTACTCTGCATGTGTGTAAATGTTTTCGTGTTCCATGTCTTCGACGCTTCCAGGAGTATAACATGCTTAACCGCCAAGCCTCCAAGAAGGGATTAAATCGTTAGCTATAAGTCAACATGTTGCTTATTCGCCTAGTTTAGGAATTTTAGTGTTCTATTATCTCGGGTGGATTTCTCTTATGTTTATAACCTTTTTAATGATTGGGTGGCAGTGATGGTAGTTACTGTCCGTGCTAGGGGCTTGAATCCCAGTAAAGTTCCGGAAGCTCCATAAACCAGGCAAACTGATGCACAACCTCTCATCGGGAAGTCCAGACAAGCGTTCTTCGCATCATTGTTGCGCCAAACCGACATTCCTGACGAATGAAAAAGACCTTTGACTTCAGGTCACCTCGTCGCTTGTACCGGGCTACAAAGCCAACGTCGGTAAAGGAGAAAAAACGGACTTAAAGGTATTAAATTCGGATAACAGAATAGTTATCCGCGTTCACCGACAGAGAAGACCACCAACGCAAATCTCTGACGCCCTTGAACGACGAAAAAGCGTACTGGAGCAGCCTTGCGATCGGAGCTGCCAAGCGCTGAATCTGTCAAAGAAACCAAAGATCCTCATAACCGAGGACGGGCGCATGAAAAAAAATTTGCAGGTACGACTATGGCGCGGTTTTCGGTTTGTCGAAAATACAACAACAGTTCCTCCGACCGGTCGTTTCGCCAAAGGACATGCCCACATACGAGGACTGGGAAACTGAAATTTTTCATCGCAGGTCCACCAGCAATAATGCAGTCAGTCGAACGGTTCCTGAGTAGACGCAAAAACTCCATGGTTGGACCAAGGATTTAGATAGTCATCTGAGGTACCTGCTCTCTCCACCTTCATGCGCTAAATTCTCATAGTCGAGTCGCTCAGGGATCTGCTGCATTGAAACTTTTAAGAACGGTCACACCAGTCCAAGAGTTGTCGACTTCCCAACAACTGACACGACCAAAACTACTGCGGGAACGCACCAGAACCTGCATCTGGCTCTATGCGTGATCGACGTGAGCGCTCCACCACCAAAGAATGCACGACGATCTGGCAACCGACACAAGGCGGGATGTCTAGGGGACGCTCCATTTTACGAGTAGTCGAAAGTGAGACGCACAACACTTCCGTAGGGGGCGACGTTGACTAAAGAAGTCTCGTGTCCGGTTGAACATTCGACACACTAAATAATGGCAAACGTTCGTTGAATACACCAGCCCTTGCTACTTTTAGAAACACCAGGCAGTTGCTACATCCCTCTTGGTGAACGCATCCTGGAGAAGCAGCCTGAAAAAAAACTACTTTTTGCGCGGACTCAAGGTTTTGCCTGTGTGCCGCCCCTTCCAGTAAGCGTAAGAGGTAAAACAGACCACAGTTTACCCTCCATGGTTGTTCGCCCGTTGCAAGTAATAAGAATCATAAGTCTCAGGACTCGGGGACTTTCTGTGTTTAGATAAGGATGTAGTAGGGATGACCGCAACATCTATCTCGCTCTCTTTTAGGTTAACCCCTAAGTTAAACAGTTTAAACGTAATCCATAGGTCACATGTCTGCTAGATGGAAGATTTTTGCTGCAGTGCTCCTATTCAGGATTTCGAAGATTATCGTCAATGGCTGCAATTGATGGTGTTTGTCAGTTGGCATCAGAAATAGTATTTTCGCAACACATCCGGTCCTTTTTGACTCGCGTATTTTTGAGTGGAAATTGTCGCTGCAACGTCGACATCCCATATTCTCATGTCAAACTCGTAGCCACTACTGAACGTTTATGTGCAAATTATGAAACAATCTACTTTCTGACTCTCCTTTTTTGTTTTTCAGCTCGGAAGGTCATGCTGTCGCATCTTCCAGACCTCGTAATGCGTGAGTTCTGTTCAAAACAATGTTTCCTCTATAAACCTTGTGTGATTGCATGCTGCGTTTGGTCGTCTCTTTCACTGCCCAATCAGCTGATGCTGCATTCGCCAGTAGGCCGCCTCCAACACTACTTCGCAGGAACAAGTTGGATAGGACGTTTTGCCTGTTATGGCTGTTGTTCTCAGGAGTCCTTTTTGGACTAGTACAAAAAGTTATAGGGTACAAGACTGTACATATAAGTTGTGGACGGCGTCGGTCGGGAGGTCGTCGGGACTGCTATAACCAGACGTTGCTGTGTGCCTGCATCTCGCTCATAATTATATACGTAAATATGCCGCCATCACCCTGGACGGCAGGGTCGCACTGGCGGAGTCCGTTGGTGAAAAAGTAAATACTCAGGTAGGGATTTTTCCTAACAAGGCCATCTTTGGTCTCGCAGGGGTGAACAAGCCCAAGAACGTTTTTCAAGGTTGAGATAGTAGGCCATGTTTACCGGTACTTGAAATAACACCTTCGTAGTTTCTCCTATTTGAGATTGTTTTCGCGCATTCTACTCGATGGCTCTTTGTGTGTGCATTATAGATTTGCCATGTTGAGGCACAACACCCTGTTGACCAATCTTTTTTCATTTTAGAACTTATCAAGCTCCTGCGTGAGACCGAATTCGACGACCTCAATTCAGTTCTTCGGGAAATAATGATCCACTATACGACTGAAATCCAGCCTGTCGCCATCCACATGCTTCAAGAGCTTGTAAGACATCCTCGCCTGTGTGCCTACAAACCACGTTGTAATTTTTCCAGTCGGATGTGCCACCAACTTTCCTTTATTCACTCTGATCCTCTGTTAACTGTCAATTCACCTTGCTTGCTTTAGATGCTACTCATGCATAGCTGAAATGGCATTTGCCATCTCCCTTTGTCCCTCCTAGTCGGCGACATTTGTCAAATTAGTTGGCGTGGCTGAAAACGGCGACGCCGGTGAGGCGAACGCTGCTGGCGATGTGGAGTACAACGAGGAGAAGGAGTACCAATGCCTTGTCGCTACTGGCGTCATGGAGAACATTGAAACTCTCATGCAGGTGATGGAGGAGCAGGAGGAGCTCATCGCCAGCGCAGAGCCCGTGATCATCCAGCTGGTGCAAATCATCCTCAAGCACAACGTGACGGACTTCTACGATGAGGCCTTTTCCCTCATCTGTTCCCTCACCTGCACCAAGATCTCGCCGCTGATGTGGTCAGTTTTTGACTGGCTCTACGAGGCCTACGAAAAGGACGCTGAGGACTGTTTTGCCAGCATGATGCCAACCCTGCACAACTATGTTACCGTCGATCCGAAGGGCTTCATGGCTGCTCCCCATCGCGTGGAAATGCTCATTTCCATGTGCACCAAGGTAGGGTCCTGCTTGGGAGAACTCATAAACTGATAAATCCGCGCTATGTTTTTGTGCGGCACTCATTCTGTGCCCGCTTACGTCTGGTTTGCCGTCTCATTCTATCGTCTAAAGCCATTTTTCAAGGATCGACCTATTCCTTATCTAGTCATGTCTTTGCGAACAGTGTAGTTCTTTTGGTTTCCTGATCGGCGTGGAGTTGCTATCAAGTCACAAGGAGCTAAAGAACTTAAGCAGTTGTCGTGGGAAGGTCGAAGCAGCAATGTGCTTCTGGGTTGATTTGAAATACACCAGGCCTGATTTAAATCGTCTCATGAAAATGCCATTATTCAGGATAAACGGGACCTCACAATGCATGCATCCTATTTGTTTAGATGTCAAATTATTGTCATTCCTGAAAATTATCCGTCTTCATTTGTTACACAAATGCGCATTATAAGTAAAAAGATACGACATAGATGTACCAGTGTTGAGGAAGGCCTCCATCCTTCAGACTAATTTTCTCCACATGCGAAAAACTCATCCGCCCCCCGAACACGTGTTCCTCCAGCTTATCTCCGATCTCGCCAATGGTGACTTGACAACCCTGGCGCTTTTATGCTTACGACAGGATTTTTGTTTTACAACGCCTAATCAGGTGGGTGGGATGCCTCACAGATTTGGTTGTCTCCGAGTCCTGAAGTCACTGTTAGGCCTCAGGCTGTGAGACGCTGTGTGCCGTTCCGGGCCATAGCTCCTATTGAGTCGGGCCTTTTCATACTTTCAGGCGCTTCAGATATGAAACTCCAGCCCTCTTTCTGGAATGCAAGGGACGTTTTTGATGGCCGTTCTATATATGCTTAGGTGGCTCCTCCCCTGCTTGGAAAGTTAATTTAAGCCTACTGCAAAGTTTTGTTGTCCCCGCAGTTCGGTGTCCCGTCGTTGATGAAGGACGTTTTGTTTGGAGAAAGAAGGACGCATCTTCTCCCCTCTGTCTGGACTCCTTTACGTTGTCCTTCCCTGCTTTCCTCATTAGCATAAGTTCGTGACAACATTGTCAGCCCACATGTTTTACGAAATTCTCCGTCCACTCTGTCATCCAAAACGCGGAAGCAGTTGACCACACTTCTAATGTGGCTGGAGAAATGTTTGACAAGTCCTTGTAACTCGAAATCGGAGTTCGATCAATAACAATGACACCCGACACGTCGTCTGGCGTTATTCACAAACCCAGGGGCATTATTTTCGGCTAATGGTGATGTTTCAAATCTCGAGTTTTTTTTGCATATTTATGGCTTGAAAAACAATGGTTTTGCACACTTGCTGTATGCCTGATGGGCCGGAGCCGATAGCCTACGAGGTCAAGTCTTATTTTCCTAATGGACTTAGTTAATTTCAAAGTTTGCTTTTTGTGTCGATATATGTGCAGAGGGAAGGGAGTATGTTGTTAGTCGCTATGCGACTGCCTACGAGGGCTCCAAATTGAACACCAAGACATGACGGACAGAGTACGTCCCGTTACCTGGTTGGTAAACGAATCTGTCACGATCAGAAGTAACGTGACAACAAGCCCATGACTCAGTAGCAGACCGTTGTACAATTTAGTGCTCAAGGACCAAAGGACCTAGGTTCGAATCCCTCCACCATCTAGACGTGGGGTTGGATGTCGCTGGTTGACGACGTCTCAAAAGCCATCTAATCCTGCACAGTTCGACCGTCGATTCCGAAGATGTCCACCGTGTGCTACACAGCAAGGTGCGGCGGGCACGGTGACTTGCGCGTGAATTAGTTTATAGTGATAGTAGACTTGCGCAGCGTCTGCCGCCCTCTCTCCCACTCCCCACCTTGATCCTGTATCAAGACAGAGTCAAAAACACCGGAGGCGGGGGAGGGCGCAGTTGATCCAACCCCCATTTGCCTTTGTCGCTATCCTTTTTTGCATATATATATATATATATATATATCAATCAGGAATGGGCGCACACCGATCTATTGGCTTCACAAAGCAAACAAGCTCCGTATGTGTGGCAAAGGTCACGAACAGGCAACCAATTACCAGGCCGAAGTCGGCCAAGTCATAATAGCAGCGAGGAGGGACGACAGAGAATGCGGGTAGATTGATACAGCACTGTTTCGGGCTTATTCTGCCTTCATTCAGCCAATCATAACCCTGACCACCAGCAGCTGAGACCAGAAACACAAACATGCGCACAGACGCACCTGGCGCAGTCGGTCCACCACTGAGGCCTACCAGATGGGTCTGTGGTGGACCGACTGCGCCAGGTGCGTCTGTGCGCATGTTTGTGTTTCTGGTCTCAGCTGCTGGTGGTCAGGGTTATGATTGGCTGAATGAAGGCAGAATAAGCCCGAAACAGTGCTGTATCAATCTACCCGCATTCTCTGTCGTCCCTCCTCGCCGATATATATATATATATATATATATATATATATATATGTATGTGTGTATATATGTAGGTCCAAGTTTTGTGAACGTCTGCCGTGCCAGATCAGCATGCCATAACCCTCAACCTGGTGTGCGCCGGCAGTTCTCCAGTATCTGGTTCTCTGGCGGTAGGTGCGCTTGCGCTCTCGCTGATATACAGGTCTTGTGCATGGCTGGCGCAGTTGGTCCACCACTGGAGTTTACTAGATGGTCAAATTGGCAAAGTTGAGAGATCCGGGTTGATGATTTGAAGGAAAAGACGGGCTCACCGGAACGGGCTTATTTGGGTGTTGACGTTTCGAAGAGCTTGCCAACAAAGCGCTTTAAAACGTCAGCACCCAAATAAACCCGTTCCGATGAGCCCATCTTTTTCTTCAAATCATCAACCCGGATCTCTCAACTTTGTCAATCTAACCGTCTAGTAAACCCCAGTGATGGACCAGCTGCGCCAGCCTTGTGTGCGCATGTTTGTGTTTCCGGTCCCAGGTGGTGGTCAGGGTTACGCTTGGCTGAATGAAGGCAAACAAGCCCGGAGACTATAATGGCCATTTCTGGCTTATTAGCCGTCGTCGACCAGCCATGTCCAATCTGGGGCTTGATCCCGCGACCTGTCGGTTAGAAGTCCAACGCCACTAACCAATGAGCTACTGGCATGTCCTATCGGCTGTGATCGGCTATATACAATGGCGGAAGGACGCTCATCGATCGTGCTACGGAATGCACTAGTTCTGTTGTGCCTTGTGGCTCCTTCTTGGGCCCCGCTAGCAGCCACAAACAGTGTCCGAACCTTAGAATGGTAACTGTTAGCGCGAATTTCATTCACGGGAGAAGGGATACATCTTTTCTACACACGTTTTCAGCAAGAAAATACGCTCCTTCAACTGATTGACCTCTAACTTTCCGTCTTTCGGACATTTTAGAGTCTGAACAGTGATGAGGACGATTCGAACGAGGCCGTCCACGCCGCCAAAATGCTAGAGGTCTTGATTATCAACTTCCGCGGACAGATGGACGCTGTCGTTCCAAAATTCGTCGAACTCACATTGACAAAACTGACTCAGTCCTCCACAAACGTCGAACTTCGCATGATTTGCCTTCAGGTATCCACTTTGTGCAAGCTAGGTTTTCATCAAAGTCTACTTAGGTGACTATCGATATCTTTGTATACTCTGTTGGTGCAGTATTTTACCACGTGTTACCTGTTCAATCGTTTAAATGAGAGGCACTGACAGAGCGCTGCTGCCTTCAGGCTGAAATGCCTTCTACTGTATCAATTTTGTGGTAGATATGACCTATCCTCGCAAGAGACCCCTGCGATGTAACTCAATTATAAGTAATTGCCACTGCGCCTTAGATCGGCGACTTGAAACAATTAAAGCTCAAATTGCGTTTCATTGACTGACGCATAATTGTGCTGACATTCAGTCCTAGAGGGTGTTTTCACTCCAGGCGAAAGAGGCTCTGAGAGGGTTTTCTACACAACTTCCTGCTTTCCTCTGTTCACACAGGTCGTCATTGCGGCAATTGTATCTTCTCGCGCAATTGTTTTGCCTATTCTCTCAACCCACAACTGGCCGGGCACGGAGACCCCCATTATTGAGAACTTCCTGAAAATCTGGCTAGAAAACATTTCGCGGTTCACTGGGTAAGTCCTACCTTTTTATAGCCTTGATTCCCGAACACTGTGCTGGGCCCCTTTGCTATTGGGGATGTCTACTGATCTGACCTGATTACGGGACAGAGTATACGACCATTTGTACAAGCGTTAGGCCCGAGTTTCGTGGCACAACGCAAAGCCTTTGTCCACATCATATGTGTAAACGCCTCCCTTCCGGAAGTTGTGTTAGGCCGGAATGCACACTTGACCACCTTATAGCCATTTTTCACCCCAGTCAACTGGGCTCATGCATTTCTCTGGTCCCCGCTGGAAGAGGCCGACCCAGCAGAACCTTTTCTCTGTATGACACATCGGGATTCGTAGCAGACTGGGTAGCTGGGTTCTCAACCGAACTGAGAGTCAGCATGACAACGGTAGTTTCTTCCTCATATGGCTGCTATGGTAGATATCGTCAATGAGAGCCCTGTGTTATATTACTCAAGTCTGAAGGCCGGTACTTGTGGATGAAAGCCGATGGAACCACTTTCATCACAAGTTGCCTTGACCGCGTTTGCCACTGGACAGTTATCCCTTGGTCAAATCTAATTCACGCTCGCGTCAACACCATTCGTCTGGGTGTAAGTGATTAACACCATCATACTTCCCAAGAGAGGGGCCCTCGAACCAAAAGCAAATTCCGACTGTGAAGTAGGTTGGATCTCCTGGCTTTCTTTGTTAGATTGACAGTAGATGGTAAACCATCTCTTACAAAGACGCTGGAATCTTGAACTTCCAAGTTTAGCTTCAGCGACTTCATCTCAAATGAGACAGTCCACGCTCGCTGCGATAGCATCGCCGAGATAACTCAAGCCATCCAAGAAAGACGACTGAGGTGGTTTGGGCATGTTCTTCGTCGTCCACCTCAGAAGCTCAGTGTTACTACCCTCGATCCGGCAGCGTTACCCCATAGGAGGCGTCTAAGAGGGGTCAGTTCAAAACCTGGCCCGACACAGTTCGTCAAGACATGGAGATGGTTCTTGGACCTTCGGTATTCGGTCTCCGTCGTTGGCGAAGGGAATGGGTTGAGCTGTCCAGATCTGCTGCCACGGATCGTCGCGCGTGGAGAGGTACAGTTCGGGACATCATCGAGGCCGGCTAGATCGGGCATGATCGCAGCCATATCAAGTACAAGTTCCAATTTTAGCTACTGATACCGCATTCCCTGGCATGGGAGTCGTCAGTTCTTGGTCTGATCATTGAACTGAGCCTAGGGTCGGGGCATGCCTAACTGGCCTGCTCACGTGTTCATGGTGCAATCTGTGGCTGCGGATTATAATTCTCAACGCGCGACAGTCTGCGGTAGAGGATCCAGAGTGCTTGATCCACTTCTGCTTGGTAGCGGAGACCCAGCGGTGAAGGTCCAGGGACCACCTCTTTGGTGCGCGCACAGCTATATGGTTTTTTTTCTTTTCAAGGACCGGGTCGCCGAATTCTTTACGGTTGTGTTTGCTCGACCTACCTCCCCCGCAACCTGCTACATTTCTTAGCTCACGCATTCTTATTTCTCTTGGGACTTCAGGCTGCACGACCGTCGCGTCTGTGTGCTGGGACTCTGCACTCTCCTTTCTCTCGGTGACGACGAACGGCCCCCGGCTGTGAACAAGTTCAGCACCCAATACCTCCCCGCCCTCCTGCTCCTCCTGAACGGCCTGAAGGACGCCTATGTCCTCAAGGCTCAGGAGGAAAATGAAGGTGAGTCATTGGTAGGCCTGCTATGCTTAAAAGTCCTATAACAGCCGTTCACCCTCCATGTTGTATAACTGTCGTCTTGACCTATCCGGCTTTGTCAATACAAGCGAAGAGACGAGTCCCAGGATTTAGTTGATAAGAAGTGGAAGCTATCGCTGGTACAAGAACCTTATTCGCCTGACGTTTCGGATTCTCGCTCGAACCAGTCATCAGAAAGGGGCGATTCGTGCACAGGAATTTGCAGTATTTATTCGATGCAGTCGCTATGCTACTGCATACCTATGATAATTAACCGTTCCCTTCATCGGGGATTGTTGTCCGCTGGTGCGCCAATTAATTGGTTGTCGACATGCAAGTTGTTAATCACTCTTTTTCCAGCGATCGCTTCTAATTTTTATGTCCTGCTTTAACAAGCGGATACTCATGTGAGTCGACGCTTATGGGGAATTCTGCCGGGAAGGTGTTTTGATTGTCAGAAATAGCTGTCTCTATCAGCTTTTTCGCGTCAAACCTGCCATAGTCTTAAAGCGTCTGAGATCAAAGTTGTCATTAGCGTTGTCATGAAACCATGTCAAACCGCCCGCAGAGTGGGCGGTTTGCACACCGCTGCCTTAGGCAACATCAAGCGCACTGTTTCTTGCCAACCTTATTCCGATGGCGATTCGAAGTCAGAACGACCGGGCGTAATGGCCTGCGGAACTCAACTTCCCGTCAACGCGTTCCGCGCACGTCAAATTGATTTCAAATTGGTTTCAATTGGTCTCCAGGTCTGTGGTTGTCGTGCGTGGCACGCGTAGACGGGAAGTTTCAAGGTCAAGTTGGTCTCAACTGAAACCACACGACGACAACGACAGACCTGGAGACCAATTAAAACCAATTTGAAATCAATTTGACCTTAAAACCAATCTGAATGCCGATTAGGCCACGAGTCCCTGTTATGCTGAACTATGCTCGAAACTATTCATTCGGGAGATGACCTATCTAACCTAACTGCAGGACGAAATGTATGACCATTTATGTAGGTGTTGTTAGGCCAGAGCTTCATGGTACAACGATGTGTGACGCCTCTCGTCTGGAAGTAGTTTATGACAGATTGCAGTGTTCATACTAAAGCTCTGTGATACTCCGCTTAGTTTCATAACGCTTAAGTCTGTTCCTCAGTCAAGGGTGTAAAAAAGCCTGCAAACTGCAATGCTTGCTTTCAGCACTCCCAAGCAGCTAGCCGGATTCTTGGACCGTGATAGAGGTACTTGTGACTATTTGGCGGTGACTGGTAGACTTAGGGTTGGGCTACAATGGCTCCTAAAAGTGGTTTTTGTGGCACTTACATACGTGAGATCCGTGCCGCTCTTCATCCCCTCGCACATATTAAGGACCAGGTGTGTGTGTGGCACACGTAGGCTCTTGATCTGCTTCCAGTTGCCTTCACGCTGTCACGCCATCGAAGTATGGCGGATGAGAGAGGAGAGAGTGTGGTAGACGCTGCACAAGTCTGTCCCACTAGACCTGAATTCACCGTTGCTGGGTCCACTCTGTTGGACACGATGTGGTCCTCCCTGGTTACAGTCGAGCTCGTGTCTAACATAGACCGACTTTTTGACGAAAAACGACGGCCTCCTGATTGAGTCCATCCCGATCCTCATCGAAGGACTCGATGTAAGGTCACGGACGGCCCAGACTGTCGACACCGCCGAGTAGAGAAAGTGACTGCATATTGTCTAAGTAGTGTTTGCTACAGGCGTCGACCACCATTAGTCCTAGTTTGCCCTTCCATGGAGTTGACAGAACCACAGACCGGTGCGGCCTACTGTCCGTGATCAATGAGGAATTCTCGTTGACCAGTGGGCTCTCCCTTTTCCGAGGCCAGTAACTGTCGCTCCCAGCGCCTCCCACGGGTTTTGCGTAGTTAATCAGTACCCATTGTCAGTTACACTCTATCATGCAGATTTCGTCACGCACAAGCCATCCATTTTGCTCAAGCTGCATGCGACCTAACCGTCTGAGGTGCTTACCTTCCATTGCATCATCAGTGGTCCTCCCCTGGAGGGAGTGAATTTATCCATTTAAATCATGGTTCCCCAGCCGGACCGCATTATCTTCGGGGTTTACCCAGTTGAACCGTACTTCACAAAAACCAGTCGCCTACGAATGCCATAGTTCAGAATATGCCAAGTCAAGATGGTCTCTTACACTTAAATCTCCGTCCTATGTTGACACTTGCATCCGGGTCAGAGACGCTTCAATGGACTGTCAGACTTGCTGATCGCTAGTTGTATGTTGGGGGGGTTAGGTTTGTCTAGAACACAATTTCACTCTAGCACAGGGTGGTGAACCCCTTTAGCTGCCCACCATCTCCATGTGAAGCAGCCGAGTCGTACCTTTTTCTGTGTCAGCAGCGACTACTCGGATTGCATCTGCCCAAAGGTCCACCCAAACAGGGCGACGTAATCCGCATAGTTAAGAGTAGAGAAAAGAACGTTTTGACTGCCTTAATCGCACGCCATTTCACAGTCGTACTATATAAAAGTCCAGGCATGTATTTTTTCCTAACTTCAGCTGCTTCTGCAAGATGCCTTCGTAAAGGTTAGACCTCTAATTTAGTCTCCAACACTCCCGATGTGATTTCAAGCAACCCTTGAGTCTCGAGACGCCCCCATAGTGGTTGAGACCGGCTGCACACTAGCCTTGATAAAAACCGTAGTAAAAAGTAGCATATGGGTTTTTGGTACACCACGGATTTTCATTTCCGTGGCATAATTGAGATTGAAGGCAAGGCCTTCTGCACACCTTCGTTACGGAATGTTGCGTCTGTCGCATTCTCAAATAGGAGCGTTGGCCGAGCTCAGACTGACTGAGATCAAACGCACCCCAACACACTGAATCTAGTGTTGACTGCAACTGCGTTTGCATGGTTGATAATGGCGTTTGACTTTGATTCTCTTAATTGATTTGGCGGGTAGTTTGGACAACGATAGGGTGTATACTCCCAACTAACTTGAACTAGCCTGTGGACCGTGCCATACGTTGAATGGTGGTAGAGGGGATTTTACGGGTGGGGCAACACAGGCAAAGAGCAAGAAGACAGAAACTAGATAAATTTCTATCGAAAGTCCTATCGTACGATGTCATTTGTCGAAGAGAGTGGGCGCGATAATTAAAAAAATAAACAAAAATCCATTTTCAAAAGCGCCGGTGGTAAGTAAATTCCAGGCATTGGGAACGGTGAATATTAAGTGATGTTTACAATCACACTGAATTCTAGGGCATATCTTTGGAGTTGCCATCTTTTTTGTGCAACCTGCCCCTTTTCGTTCCGCCTATTCTAACCGTAACACATTTTTATCTCAGTGTGTTAGATGTACCCTCCACCCTACATTCCTTCTTGTCACATTCGGTTTTTCAGATGATGATGATGAAGATGATGATGACGACGAAGATGACGACGATGAAGACCAGGCGGAGGAGGCCATTGAGAGTGACGAGGACGTAATTGATGAGGAGGGAGCTCGTTATTTGGAACTACTGGAAGCAGTGGTACGGTTTTTAGCCTCTAGAGGTGACATGCCGCACATCAAGAGTATTTATAGATGGCTGCTAGCAGGCTCTGTTTGACCTCCGAAACCCCCCCCCCCTCTCCCTCCTTTGCAATTATTCAATGGGTGCCTTTTCCGTCCCCCCCCCCGACGGACTTAACAAGACTAACCCAACCTCGCTGTGCGCTTGTTCAGGCTTTTGTGCCCGTTGTTGCCTTTGAGAGGGGTGGGGCTCTCAGTGGTACGCGGACATTATCTTTCTCCAGACCAGGGTACAAAGACAGCTTCCGAGCCGTTTTGAGTCAAAAGTTTATCCCCCCCCGTCCATCGTGGCCGTTAGCGCCCTTCCTACGGCCGTGGTCCTGTCCGCCTTATTCGAACTGGATGGTCGTGGATTGTATAATTCTATGCCCGACGATCTGCGCTAGAGGATCCGGAGTGCACGTCCACTTCCTCGGTGGGAGAGACCTACTAGTGAAGGTACAGGAACCATCTAATGCCTTAACGAATTCTGTCGAGCCAGATTTCGAGTTAGCCGCCTCCTCGACTGGTCTAGGTTGGTGGGCAACGACGCTGGATGAAAGACAGCATGAGGCGGACGACAAATAACGCGTTCCAACCATCTTGATCAGCCTTTTTAATGGCTTGAGTATCCTCGCGAAGCTTGTTGCAACGAGTGCGGACTGTTTTGCATGAGACGGAGTCATACATTGACGAAGGGAGGGTTCTCGGTCAAAGATGGTCAAGCACTCCTACGCACGCAGCTCAGCACCCACGGTCGTATAGGAGGACTTCTTGAGCTGGTACTCAGTGCACTTGGATCTTTTTAACGATGGAGATATCGTGTCGGGTCAATTGACGCTTTCCACATATTGTTAAAACCCTGCAGGCTACATTGGTTGAGGTAGCGATATTGTTATTAGTTTTTCAGCTTGGCAGCAACTTCGTCCCGAGGTATTTGAAGCCGTCTGCATCTTATAGCAAACAGCCATTGACCCCCAAATGCACCTTTTTGTCATACACGCAGCTCGAAATCTAGGCATCTAGGCCCTCGAGGATAAACCGACTGGTACCGCAACTTCATTCTGAAGATCATAGCTTGACCATAGCAGGGTGATATCGTAAGAGTGGTTGAGGTCAATGAACCGGCGCTCAGGTGCGAATTGAATAGCGTAGGGTCCCTTCGAGAATCCAGTAAATGGCCTGGTTGGTGACGATGTAACGTCAAGCGGTTGGGTGAAATTATTGTTAATCAGAACTCGTACAGTGACCATGGCAACAGGTTTTGCCACAGGAACACACGATGAACTACCTCGAACGCTGCGGCGAACTAAACAAAGTAGACGGCCATCGGTTCCTGGTTAGGCCTAGCGAAGTTTAAGAATGCGCCTCAGTGGGAATGCTTGGTCAGAGCATCCACGTCCAGCTGTTGATTAATCTGCACACCCACAGCCGTCAACGAAGACTATTCTCGATAATAAGCGGGGCTACGTCTGGCGCATTGTCAGTCGCGGACTAGTAGTGGCAGCGCTAATACAATGCGGAGGCTTAAGCTCTGGCGGGCTCGGCAAACCTCACTGACGACACTAGAACTTGGTGAAATTAAACTGCCGTCACGGCAGCTCTAATCAGCCGTTGCCTTATGCACTTTCATGCAGCCGGGGGGTTGAACATGCGCTTGATTCTGCAGTCGGGGACTATATGGGCCTGTAAGGAGCAGTTTAAGACCCCGGGGTTCGCCCTACCCCCACCCACCCCCATTGTCTCATTGCAACCCTAGATCTTTCATCGTCTTTTATGTCTAACTCCTGACGGCTGTCTTTAGGAAGCTGACGCCAGTGACAGTGATGAGGACGACGATGACTTTGACGCGGACTCTGTTCTGGAGGAATTTGACACGGAACTGGACAAGGACGAGTGCAAGATGGATGAGTACGTCACCTTTTACCAGTTGATGACGGACATGGAGCAGAGTCATCCGGGGTGGTATCAGCAACTGGTTGCCCCGCTCTCAGAAGCCCAGAAGACAGAGTTCAAAAACATCGCCGAGACAGCGCTCAAGTGCATCCAACAGAAACGTAAGTTTTTAATTAGTCAGGACCCTTGCTTGGCGCGTGAAACATTCGGATCGCAATTTGCGGGCCGTGGTAGTACGATTGATTTCGAACTGCTCTGACGATGCAGTGTATATTTTTTTAAAACTAACTATAAAGAAGACATATAGCATATACATAACACATTATTGGGATTGCGATCATGCCGTGATTGTCATAGGAGTCGCTTTATTGCAGGGCAGAGTGTGCGCATTGGAATTTCGGGTTTGACTCACCGACTTCGGGAAGCAACTTATGAACGGTTGCGGTAGTGTCCCTTTTCCCACTCGCAGTCGATTTCGGAATCTTCATTACTGTGTGACTGTCTTTTTGGACCCTGGACCGAAACTCTAGAGTAACACGGGACTCGTCTCACTGTCAGACCCGGTCGATGAACTCCAGATCGCAGCCGATCTCCTTGGCCCAATGATAGTTCGGTGTTCCGCAACCGGTATAAATAGGGATCTCACACCGCGGGTATTGTCGGCATGACGACAACCAAGCCAAAAATAGTCATCCGACCTCCCACTAGTCTAGCTCGCGATAGTTCCGTATTTTGGATTTAAATATCACCGTAAATTACGTTTCGGATGACTCTAACGCTATCAGGTTTCCAACTACAGTATGTGTCGGTGTTTGTGCAGGACTTCTCAGGCTAGTAATCTTTAAAAGTAAAGAGGTGTTTGTGGTTGACCATTTGAGACGTGACTTTTTAAAGCAATAGGAACTACCATTTACAGCTCTCCGGCCTTGTGTCTCCATTTCCTTATAGTCCCTATTCGTGAGCAGTGAGATGGTTTTCTTTCAAACGCACACGCAGTAGTTTCTGACGTCTTGAATGCAAAAACAATTATTTTTCTAAAAAATTGGTTAGAAATTGCAGGTTTGTCCAAAAAATTGTTTCTACGTACTAGCTTTCGACAACCGAATACCTGTGGTCGGGTGGGGCTGGCTGATGATGACTAATAGGCCAGAACGGTTGTGCGGCTGCCTGAAAGGGTCCCAGATTGACCCCCAAAAGCTTCACGAGATGAGTATGTCATGCAAATTGACCGGTGAACACACTTCCACCGCAGTCAACCTTCCCGGTCGCGACCGGGAGGTCAGGGAGTCCCCGGTTCAATGATAGTGCGTTGTCTTTGTAACAATCAATCACCAAGTAATAGTCCGGGTTCGAATCCTACTTTTTCCAGATGTGGAGTTACGTATGGCTAATTGACGGCCGCTAGGATGACCATTTTTGGATTCTAGCTGTTACAGGCATGAATAATAATCGCAAACCAAACCTACATAGGCCACTTTACCCGCCACTGTATTGTCATCTTCTTTGAGTACTCTTGAAAGCACGTTAAAGGATTTCGGGGACTTTACGGATCTGCTGCACACTACTATACCTCAATCTCCGATTGCGAAGACCTCTGATTTACATTCGAGTCGGTCGATTTACGGTCACCTGGCTGTGTCACTTGGACCGTTATCCTACGTCCTGTCCGCTGCCGCTGGGAATATTCAGAGTCACTCAGCACATGTGTCTCTATCAGTCTTTCTGTATACTTTAGAATCGCTATCCCTATCGTTTCTTTTTTATTACTATCCTGATGTTTTCCCTTTCTGTTTTTATTACCCCACTAAACGCGCATTCTCTGTTCTTCAACAGAATCCAAAGAAATTGAGAAAGCCGGTGGATATTCTTTTCAACAGACAGACGTCCCCAGCAGTTTCGACTTCAGTGGAAATCCACCTCCCGGCGTTTAACTGCCTCCTGCGCGGGTGTCCTGCGTACGCTTGTTCAAGTTTAAGCTGCTGTAACCCCCGGGGGATGGCAACGTCCTGACTTGGCAACCCACCTTCCAACCTGATGGTCTGATTTCAATCATCCCAACCTCCCCCTCTCCCCCCTGCCTTCTTCCTCTCTGCGTTCACAGATACCCGATTTCTGATTATCCCCTTCTCCAGGTAGATGTTCCTTCTTATGCCCTCTTCAAGGTCCCTGTACAGTCGTCTGTGTCGGTCCAAAATACCCACACCTAGGTTCCCTCCTCTCAGCCAATTGTGCCTGAAGCTGCTACTGCAACCTACTGCTGTCTCGTCCAAGCGTCTGCACTTCACCGAGGACAGCGCTTGTCCGCGCACGCAGCGCTTAAATGTCCACTCCATCGCGAGCAGATTTTGCTACCTACAAATCAAATGTCACAATGACCCGCTCCTCCCCAACGATGACTCTTGTAAGAAGTATATACAAGTTCTCACCCCTTGGTGTCA